TCTGAAGCACCGCTGTTCGTGCGCCTTGATGCGAACCGCACTGACAAACTTCAGGCTCATGTACTAGTGCTGTTCGGAGCCCTGGGGCTGCAAACCTGATGGGGCAAGGGAAAATGCATGGGAGAAATAGTTATATTCTGATTTTCCACTCCTCTCTAATTAATATTAAATTCTAGCAGACTAAAGCAACTCTTTCTTAGGTTTTGGGGCCCGTATTTGAAATGCTGATGTTCAGAGCTGGATTTTCATTTTGATTTACTGGGCTACCTCTGTTTCCATTACCGTATACTAAAAAAATATACAAGACAATTTCTTTAGAAATAGAAGCACCATTAAAAAAATAGCAGTCCAGGTGTTCCTTTACTGTTGCTGCAGACTATTTAGCATCTGTTTCTATGAAGATTGCCTGGTGTTCTGAGAACCCAGCAGAATAAGGACGGGAAAGAAAACCACCAAAAGACAGAGAGGGGAAAAAAGCCCTAAGCAGATACAAAATCCAAGAACTGCAGATGGTTATGGAGCCAGAAACCTCATGCTGTGTTGAACTGCCCAGACAGTAAATAGTTGGATAAATCCAGACATTCTCTAGACAGTCCAGAGCAGGGCCCCACTTGCTGCCAGCATTGTCATTTTATTTCCACAGGTAATATCCATCTCCTCCACCTGGAATTGTTTCATTGCATCCTGAAAACAAGGTGTTCGAAAAAATTTTGAATCCTGTGGTCAAAAACTTGTTTCTTTTAAGCAAAGCAGAACACTGTGCAGTAAGGGCAAAGCTCGCCCGTGCCTAAGGCAGTCCTGTCACAGGTACCAGCCCCCTCCTCTGCAGATGAAGCACCACCATGCCCAGGAGAGACATCATCCAGTGGCACACAGAATAAAGCCAGCAGGAGGAAATAAAAAACATGCTACTTTTCACTAACACAGTAAATGCTAGTTATGTCCCTCGATGCGCAGCCTTCCATGCACGTAGTATTTTAAGAGCTGTCGTAGGATGAGAAACACCCTTCCCTGCACCGAACCGCAAATGACATCCAAGCATGGGGACAGCCAGCTTATCATCTCAGACTGACGCTCGCGTTGTTTTGTGTTGAACTACTCCTGGCATCCAGGAGTTTTGATGTGTAGAGACTGTACAGAGGGTAAAAGAAGAGGGAAAAGATGTGAAGTGTAAAAGCACTTTCTCACAGATGCACACTAATATTCTTGGCAAAGGGAATTATCTTCTGCAAAATAGTAACTCATGTGGCCTGTGTGAAAGAAACCACCACAGAAAACAACCAGCGAATGCAAAGAGGTCAGGGCAAGAAGGTCTGAGACACCACTGCTGTTTCTGCATGGATGTGAGCTCATGGAAGGGACTAGACAGCAGATGGACACTTGCTTTTTAGGTTACTCAGTGCTGATTTTGCTCTTAAAGAAATCAGTAGGAGAAATGCTGAAGGGCTGTTCTAGGCCATTCTGTAAACTTGGTGTTTGTTAAAATAGCTGTAACTGTATCAAAGTCTTCTACGTAGCTACAGATACATCTGCAAGTAGTCTGTTAAGCACTTGCTAAGCATATTATGGGTAAGTAATCATTTGTTAATAGACACTGATCCATTAAGCATTTACACACTATTTATACATACTTATTACAAAAACTGACAATGCATTTTAGTATCCATAAGTCACCTTAGAAGCTATACACCTACACTTTATATATTTTATATTCTTGTTTTGATACATAAAGTGATGATCTTGGAATTACCTATAAATACCGAGTACTGTATGCTCTGTTCAGTTGCCCACATAGTGTAATCTTTATCTCCTGTCTTTTGCAGTGCGGTGCTGCTAGGCAGTCAGGAGGGAAGCCCAGCAACACAAAAAGAAGTCAGCAGTGAAAATTCAGGGCCCGTATCAGTGGTAAGTTCTTTCTGCTGCTGCGTTGAGCTTACCTATGTTTTCCAAGAATGAAAAGAGTGGAGAGAGGGGAGACCCAAGAGGGCTGAAGGGCACTAGGAGGGGCACATTCTGTAAATGTAAAAACAATGGGGTTAGGGGCTAAGGTAAAACGAACTCAGATGCCTGACAAAAATAAACCCATCAGGGTTGCCATCTGGCTGACAGAACAAGTTCTGGCAAGACAGATGAGAACATACAATTTCTGTTGTTTTCAGCTTTTCCCTTTGCTATGCTATATTCCTAAATTCAGATTAAAAACAGTATGCTTTGGGTCACTATGCTCTGCACCGATCACAGTTTTCCAGGGAGAGGAGTGACATGACCAGAACGTTGCAAGACTTGTGGCTAAAAGCCTGACTGGTGCACAAAAAGTTGCAGCAATGATACGAATGGGAGGACAGTATGATACTGTGCTAGGGAGATGACAGAGGAGACCTAGGATCGGGACCGTGGTAAGGGAAGGAGAGAGAAAGGGAAGAGCCAACTATCCTCAGGTACAAAATCATTTAGCTGTCTCAAAACTTACTACTGTCTTGCAAGATAATCTTTCATACAAAGTAAAAAACCACATGCACCACATCAGCAGTCAAAGTAAAAAACTTTTCTTACATGGATTGACCTTCTTTGCTAGTGCATCTCCTGGCTGTGAGCAGGGATCATGTAACTGTGGTTCAAGAGAAAAACACCACACTTTTTAGTACGATTAGTGCACATTACACCATCTGTTTCGATTTTTTTTTTTTTGATAACTTGCAAAGAAGCATCAAGACAGCTCAGAGTATAGGGCTTAGGACAGCTGTTATGAAAGGAAATTGGCGCATGCTTCCAAGAATGTTATGGACACACTTTCTAAGTGTCGTTGTGTGCACCATAAAATGATTTTAGGGGAATACAGGTAGATGCACTTGTGTACTGACACAGGCCCCAACTTGTGGTGAAACTGGGCTGACAAAGAGGACAAAACATGAACTGGATGGTCTGACTAAGCTATTAGGTGCTTGCCAGCAGAAGTGCAGCTGGGCAAATGTGCCTCTTATTTGCATGTACAGTTATTGTAACTGCACAAGCACGTGTGGCCTTTATTCACAACTGGACACCTAAAATCCTAATTAGATTCCCTAGTCAAATATATATATATATTCCATATTTCATGCATTTCAGACAAATTATTATATTAAAGAAAGCTCTTCCTGACATAACCATGAAACAACAGCATCACAGCCAATCCTTCTTCTTGCCCATAAGGCAAGCTTTATATCTGTTCCAGCTATTCAGAACTGTCACCATCACACACAAAAAAAGGAGCCAAGACTATCAACACCACGGCAGTTCCTTCATATAATTGGAAAAATGCAGCACTTTCACCATGGAAGAAATCACTAGAGACAAGCACAAAGCCAAGAAGACATTTATTACAGAAAATGTATATCCCTTCCCTATCAGAGTTCAGGACATCAGTCTGAACTGCCTAAGTTTATACTCTCTCAGGACACTGAATCATCTATGAACCAAGGCTGAAAATATTTATTCTCTAGATTTTTCTAGATATTTCTTCTTTAGATTGTGCTAATTCACAATTTAGATTATTTCATTGACTTCCTCCATAAACAGGTGCTGATTTTTTTCTCTAATGAATTAAAAGGAATATTCATGTCCTTACATGAAGAAACTCTAAATGAAGTGGTCAGGGAAAAGATAACAGTGGATGTAAAACTCTTGTTTAAATCAAAAGAACTAACGACCTGGTTATTACAAAATCTTTTAGTGTTAGTTGAGGCTCCTCAAATTTCCCAAACAATCTTTTCTCCTCAACTTGTTAGAGTTGTAGTAAAAATAAGGTTGTGTCTGCCACAGCTTCATAAATGGCTTTTCAAATCCTTGCTGACTCCTATGTGTGCTTGGGATGTGAGGTTTCCTTAAGAGCACAACGGGGAATGAAGGAACCTAGTTTCCCTTTATCTGGGCTTTTAAAACTCATCTATTCCCCAAGGAAGACAGAACTTTTGCATTTCTTCTCCAAATACTTCCTAAACTTTCCAGGCTCAAACTGGGCAGTCATGTATGTTCTCTATGTTCTGATTTTCTCTGTGTATCTGTGCATGTGTTTTATTCATTGTCATAAGCAGGTAATTGCTTCTAAATGCCCAACTGCTATGTAACAATGCAATACTCATTATGGACTTTCCCTTAATTAGGCAAATAGCAGCATTGAAAATTTGCAAAAGACAGACAATCAAGCAGAGGAAGAAGAGAGAAACTTATACCAGAGAGGATGCTTTTTCAGCATGTTTTTCTCTTCTTATACCAGGAGAGACTTAACTGGAATGTAGCTGATGTTAGAAGAGATGTGGCTCTGAATAGCCCAGATAAAAAACACATTTTGGGAGTTTTATATCCAAAGAGTGAACAAAGCAATGGGATTGCTAGCCAGCAACTAAAGGCAGCCAGTGCCCTCTGAGGAGCACTGATGTTAACACGTAGCCTGCATGAGTTCATGCTCAGCCACTGAACTGCTGTATTCTGATAATGAGGTACCCAGCATGTCCTTAATACCCAGCTTCACACTGACCACCTTGCAGTAGTTTCCTTCAGAAGAGACAAGATACAATGGTCATGGTCAT